CTACAGGTTCTACAGTGGCAAACGAGACAGCCGGGTAGCAGTGTTGTGGAGTGCTACAGGAGTCGAAGCTCCAGCAGGAAGATAGTCCTAAGGCGTATTGATACTTATAGATGCTTGTTGGACATAAGGGCAGGCGAAGCATTTTAGTTCTGTGGAACAGCCTGAGCAAACAAGCCTGGGCTGTGTAGGGGAACGGTAAGATTTTGTGATCTTGGTGGAAGTTAGAATAATGAGCTCTAATTACTCTCGTGTGCCTCTCAGCATATTTTTGATGGCAAGTTAGTGGCAGGATGAGGGTGGTTTCAGACTGAGAGTCTCCAGCAAATCAATCACATGCCAGTATATATTATCTGAGCAGATTGCCCTATCTGGAATACAGTGCAGTTCCCACCCCGACTCTTAGGAAATCATAATTGTTACCATTTATTGAGCTCATACTATGTACCCAGCTCCAAACACTTCACATGTATTCATTCACTTAACCCTCACAACTGTAAGAAATAGACTTATTATCGTCGATATGGAGTTGAGGAAGTTGGGACAGAGGAGTTAAGGTGGCCAAAGTAACACCACAGAGAAGTGGCAGGTCCAGAATTTGAACCTTGTACCAGCCATTTCCTCTTTCTGGAATGTTCAAACCCTCATCCTTCTGAAGCTGGCTTCTTCTCACTTTTTAATCCCAGCTCTGATATTTCTGCTCAGTCTGCCTTAAGCAGGGACCACTTGTTACTCTGCAAATCGGTGCTTTGTTTATTCTATTATTTTGTCTATTCCACTAGAATCTAAACTCCATTAAAGCAGAGACCAGGCCTTCCCTGGTGGCAACCAGTTAAAACAGCATTGAGCAGCTTTTGGCAACTGCCTTGGAACGAGCACGATGCTCAGTCAGGGAGCTGCCCACATGGCGCTGCAGACTTCTCTTGGCCCGCCTGCTGTGCCCCTCAGCAGTGTACTTAGTGGAGCTTACTCTTCTGCTCCCCACTCTACCTCTGGTGAATCCTCGCATTGCCCCTGCAACTCTGGTCTATACCCAGTTCTGTATGCATAAATAAATAAATCTTAAAAAAAAGAAAAAGCAGAGACCATGTTTTGTTCACCATCCTATTCCCAGTGTCTTGCAAGGGGTCTTGCTTATAGGAACTGTTAGTAAATATCTGTCAATGAATAAGTTGATACTGATGCCACAGTTCTCTATCCCCTAATCACTGTATAACACACAGTGAGTGGAAATATTTCTCATTTCAGCAGAATGCTATATTATTGGCCCAGGCAGCAAGCTTAGTTTTCTATATATCCCTATACATTTTACAACAATGATAAAACAGTTTCTGGGAGGACTGTAAGTCTCAGTAGGGAAAAATTAAACATTCGGTATGATAAATGCCAACTGGAATTGACAAACATCAAAAATTCACCAGTGTGTGTTGTTGGAAAAACATTTATTGCAATTCAGTGTCAAAAAGATTTTACAAAAATATGCCACTGTCTGGTACAAACAACTATAAAAAATCAGTTTGTCATGCAAGAAAAGTGTGCAAATAATTTATACAGGACTCAGCTCACACAGTTAAAACATCTTTGCATGTCATTGGTCTAACCTTACACTTTTAGTTATAATGTTCAATCCCCTAGAATATTTTTCATTAAAAATAAAGCTTCTAAGCACAGGACTTGAATATGTACCCCCTTTCACTGGGGTGATTGGCACTTGGTAGAATAAAAATGGCCCCTAGAACTCTCAAGAGAGGAGCGCTGGTTGGGGCCTTCTGTTGAACAGATTTGTGCCTTGTGAATTAAACAGACATTTCTAGACTCAAAGATAAATTATGACTCATATTCAAACTCCAGAAGCAATGTTGTAGCAGATGGTGTTTCAAGTTCAGTTTTGGAGCAGCAGTCTATTTTTGCCAGGACCAGGGCTAAGTTTTGAGGGCTCTCTCAGGAAGCTTTGCTGAGTGAACTCAGGGACACTTGGGGAGGTGGACACCTCAAAGTATGTGCCCCCCCACTCCTGTGCTGCCTGCTTCATGGCGGAGTCCCCCCTTTGCTTAGTGAAGAGTTTTGTGCGTGAACTTCCTTAGCAACATAGTGGAGCTCACAGCAGGTACTGAGATAGGAAGATGAAGAGGGTAGAGGAGTATCTCTTTGTGTCAGGGGAGTGGAAGTACCTGCTTGGTTACCATCAAGACCTGTTTCTAGAAACCAAACCTGGCCCTCTTCTATCCTCGTGCCACCATTGCAATGAAAAATATATTAAAATGAACAGCCCAGGGAAAAGTTGAATTTGTCCAAGCAGAGTGCTTGTTTTATGGTGTGCAGGGTGTTCACACGAGCATATGGCTCTCATGACACAGACAGAAGTGTGTAGAAACCTTGCATGACTCTAACTTCTCTAGGGAGAATCAGGGATGGAAAACATTAACAGTCAGATGCTCAACATGGGTGTCACTCTTGCCTTCACAGTGGAGGTCTTGAGAAGACTCAGTGGTGTCATGTGACTCCAAACACATGGAAAATGTGCTTGGGTTCACGGGGTACAAGTTAAGGCCTTGGGGTTCCTTCTAGGTTTAGGCTGAGGTCGGCTGCCAGGCTGAGGGGCATCCCCTGAATATTTTGGACTTGATTCCTGGTCTTGAAAGGCAGGAGGGCCAGATTCTACAATGTCTCTTCTTCGGGAGCTAAAGTATCAGTAGGAGGTTGTTTCTCTTGGAAAACCACAGGGATTTATGCTCCTTAACAAAACAGAGCAGAAAGCATCTCCGGACAGCTGTTTAAAGGGATTAAGATCTTGTTTGTTGGTGACATCAAGCCCCAGGATTTATCAGAGAGCATTGTCTTTGCATTGCCTAGAGGTCCAGGCTGTTTCTGAGGTCTGCTTAAAGACTAAAAGGATTTAGGCCTGCATCCAATCACCAGGGATGCTCCCCAGACTCAGCTAGTTGGAGATAGATTAAAAACAACAGATGTCAACATAGAAAATGATGATATAGCATAGAGTTAAAAAAAAACTCGCACATAAGATTAGTTAAAAAAATTCACACATAAAATAGTGTTTGCATATCAAGACATTATTGCCCTACAGCCTGGCAGAAAAATATAAACGCAGATGCCTATTTTATGACAAACTATATTGAATACTAAAAAGTATATACCACGGAACGTGTCTTCAATGATTGAGCTTCTTGTAACTCACACCACTTGCTTGGAAAAATGAAATTCTAAGCTCTTTTTCTCCTCCCACATATATATATATATATATATATATATATATAAAGGCAGAGACAAGGGCCTCTATTCACTTCAAGCTCCATGGGAAAGTGTTTGAATCCACAGAGATAAGTGCTGTGCACACAACACAGTGCACAGCCCGGTCCCTTCACCTCTGCAGCCATGACAGCCTGCTTTGCGATTCTGCAGTGTGAGTCCAGCCATCAACACTCTCTCCTCCAGACCATTTCCTACAAAATCGATCTCACAACTGACTTCCTGCGGATGCTTCTACCTTGGGCTTTCCGCTCCCCGCCTCCAGAGTTCCAAGTCACAACCTGTTGTAGCAACACGAGCTAGCTGAGAATGTCAAGTGGATTGCTCTGGATCTGATGATAGAATGAGCTCACGAATTCTCCTTCCCCCAAGTGCTGTGCCTTGCGCTCAGGGGACTCAAGACTCATTGCTAGTTGTACCAAATCGCTGATTTGCTCACATGAGCCTGGACCAAACTCTTTTCTTCTCTTGAGTCTGACTTAAGATTTGACACCAATTTTGAATGCTCCTTTCTAGAGTTGGGAGGGGGTAAGTAGGTATCAGTTTCCATAGTTGTGCTTCTTTTGGCATTTAGAGTAACTTTCTGACACAAGGATTCTTTCTTGCTGTCCTGAGAGAATTTGCCAATGAAATGCTACAGATTTAGTACCTAGGGAAGAATTTTCTTTAAAACTTGCTTTATGTACATATGAGCTAGCTCTCAGTGCTGGCTTGGAAGCTCTGTGCCCTCCTCGCTCTTCCTATCACCTTCATAAGCCGCATCAGGGACATGCCCCGTCCATTCCCTTCCCGCTCCCTCTCCACCTGCTAGTTCCTTCCTCATTCTCCTCTTCCAACGAAAGAGAACCACACAGCTTGGTTTCTTCCTTTCTAACTCCCACTAAGTATTTTTCTTGTTTCTGCATGCACTCCCTCCAACAATGCCCTAGGAGATGGGGAGCGCCCAGAGTTACCCTCAAAGTAAGTTCCAAAAACCACAGCCTGATCATCTGGGGTCAGGGTGGTCTTGCACAAATGCTCCTGCAGCTTGGGGTGTCGTGTGGACTCACGGGCATGACGGCTGCCCAAGGAGGCTGGTTTGCTAGGTCTCTACGCACAATGCACAGCAGGCATCTTTTCTGAGACAGCAAACCCACAGATGCAGAGGCATTTCCACTGCCGTGCTCAGCCCCAAGGGGCTGCGGTCCTGAGTGGGTGGGGAGAAGTGCAGGCCATGGAGCACTAACCCTCCAGAGCCTCCCTAACACCCCCTTGCCCAATTCCATCTGGCATCTGTAAGGAAGCTGAGACTTTGAGGAAAACTGTCTGAGCTAGGGGAGAGCTAGCCTTTTCATTTCAAAGTCGAGGCCCTACTTTCTCAATGTGCCCTGACTTGTGCGCAAAACAACCGTAGGTATTACTGAGTGACCTTTGGAGTCACAGTGGGCTGTGACCATCAGAGCACAGCCTTGCCCAACAAGATCTCCTTCTTTAATAATTTTTCTCATTAAGGAGAATTTAAATTCAAAGATATTTTTTCCCTCGAGGAGGAGGATGATGGAAAACAACAACAACACTGAGAAGCTCTGATATAGGCACAATGGCAAGTGAGCGCAGCTGACCTGACCAAGGAGGCCTGGAAACATGGCCAGTGCCTTGGCTTGTTTTTCTACTACTTAGTCATCTTTCTCTTCCAACCCCAAGGTTCGAGCCTTAAAAATATACTGTCCTCAACATTAATGTGAACCATGTTGTTATTGGTTTCACTTTTTTTTTTTTTGTGCCAAAGCCATGCAGGATGGCAAAGTTAAGTGCAAAAAATAAAAAAAGCACAAAGCAAATAAACTGCAAAGATATGTACATTGTAGGAAAGCAAAGTTCTATAAAAAGTAAAAAACAAATAGTCCCCATCCCTCCCAGGAATATTTGGCCAGGAACCCATTCAGTCCTGAGATTTCCTTTCCTCCACACAAGTACCTGCAGATCTACGCCTAGCAAGATCCCCTGGAGTGAAGTCAGTTTAGGATGGACTCACAGCTCGTCTGTTCCCTACTTGGCCGCAACTCCAGACGTTGTTTTGTCAACCTTGCAAGAAGCCTAGTGCAGGTTGACTCAATTTTGATGTGGGACACCAAGAAAAGAAAGCTTCAGCTTATCACCAGCCAAGAGGAACAGCGGCTGGCAAAACGTTTAACTCAGTATAAAACCTGTCTTATGAGCTTTATCAGCATTCTGGCTCTGACCAGGCCACAGAGATACGCTTATCCGTGAAGATACCAAAAGAAACCCAGACAAGCCAAGAAGTTAAGCAGGAATAAGAAAGTCTTCACAGTTATGGGGTGACCAAGCCTGTCTTTTCTGTGGCAGGAATTCTCCCTCCCCGACTGCAGTTCCCAATGAGCTAAAACACGCAAGGAAAATGGGCAGGTGTGTTTTGGGGATGATCTCCAAGAGACAACTCCAGCGAGGGAGTGCACCTAAAAAGGAAGTCAGAAACACGGCAAGAATCGCCTCCGATACCCTTTCCCATTTTAAATCACTTTTTATAGGATGAAAAAACAAGAAGAACAGACACTGCCTACTGGCCAGTGCACTTTATCAGAGGGAGCTTTGGATGCTTTCCGAGGTAGACTCTGTGTGACGTCTTCAGCAAATGAGCCCCGTGCCCGTGTGGTTTAAGATCGTGATGCTTCCTTTGCTCAAAACAAACCCTCAAATCAAAACCGAAAGCCCAGGGAGTTCTCATCTGCAGGGCTTCTTCTCCTTCTTTCTTTCTTTCTTCACATTGTAAACAAAGCATTGTTCGGTCTTGTATTTGAGTTCTGCTCTTTTCTTCCACATCTCCAGGGAACTGTAAGGGAGTGTCAATGACCAGCAAGAGAATTCCATTTTTACCAATGAAATACAATTCCTGCCTTGAGTCTTGCTGGAAAATCATTAGGAAAAAAAGTTTATTTACAGTATTTCTACTTTTCCATTATCGATTCTAACGAGAAGTCCATACTCTTAACTTCCCAGCCAGCAACGCCTCTCCTCCAATGTCCTCTCCATGACTTATGTTGGACGTTTCAAGCCAATGTTTAAAATGTACACTATTTACAAAAGAAATGTCCAAATTCTGTATTCCCAAACATCCAATCAGCCGGGGCACCCTTGTGGAGTGTCGTCAGGTGCTGGAATTCAGAACTTGAACAAGTTGATAAAGTCCTGGGGCGAAAGCGAGACGGAGCAGCTCTCTGGGTTGTTGGCTGTGCATGGGTGGTCAGTGCCCTGCAAAAGAACATCGCGGTTAGGCCTGAGTTCTCAGAAGCATCTGGCAGGCTTGCAGCGCCACGAGGCACTGCCCAACCTCACCAGTGCCTCCCTTTGTCAAAACTGCCAGAACATTCTGGAAGAACTAAAGAGCTGCGTGCGTGGATGTATGTGCAGAAGATGGGAAGGTAGGCTGCAGGGAAAAAAATATACATAAGGGAGTGAAGGGAAACGCAGGTCTTTGAAAATTTCTCTCCCCAGAGACTGAATGGATTTAACCTTCACCTTCAGCTGGGGCTTCCATGGGGAAGAGGAGGAAAAGATTGGGCTTTGCGGTGCTGGGGCGACCGGATCCGAGGGGCTCGGTAGTCACACTGCCCCAAAGACACGTACCTTCCAGGAGAGGATGTGACAGTGTCTGCAGAGCTGAAGGGTATCTCCGTACTGCTCTTTCCGTGGGTAACATCGCACAAGTTTAAAGTACATTTTCTTCCAATCCAGCTGTCCTTTGTCTGATACAATTAATCGCTTGCGGATCTAAACAGCAAGCAAATCAAAGCAGTTGCTGGAGAGTTTATTAAAAAGTTGGTTTGTGCTTTTCCTCTTTTCATGTAAACCCTGGCAACACCCAGGTAAAAAAAAAAAATAGCCTGGCTCTACCCAGTTAAACTGGAGCTTTTAGCCAGTCTTGAAAAGGAGGAGGTAATTGCTGACAGCTTCCTAGTGACCTCTGCTAAAGTGCATCTGGATGGTCCTTTAAAGTTTAGTGAGTTCAGAAACAAGTGCACCCTTTACTTTGTTACAGTCTACAGGGATTATTTCCAGGGAGATACAGTAACTGCCTGGCACAGTGGTCCTATTTTCTATCTAATTATTAGTGGCTTCCTGAACAGAACTTGTAGAACTCACAAGGTGGAGATTCTCCCTGGTTGAGCAGCAGGTAAAAGTGTAGCGCTGTAAAGCTGGCTGCAGCCGCTTCAGGGCAAGTTCGATCCCCAGCCACGGAGCTGAACCACATGGCACAGCAGACCTCTCCTGACCTGCCTGCTGCTCCCCTCGACAGTGTAGCTCGTGGATCTGCCTGTTCTGCCCCCAGGTCTGTCTCTGGTGAATCCTCTCACCGCCCTTGCACCTCTGGCCAGTACCCAGTTTGGTATGCATAAATATATAATTCTTTAAAAAAAAAAAAAGAAGAAGAAGAAAAGTTGGCAAAAAAGTCCTGAGGGCGAGGAGAGGCAACAGGCCCAGATGAGGAGACCCACATAATTCAAGGTCAGCTTCCTCAGGACAGTCACTGCCTCAGGCGTTTGCATGTCCCTTTGCCTTTTGCAGCCTTCCCTGGTAGTAAGAGAGTCTAAGGATCCCTGCCCTGGGTGCTGGGATACAAGGAAGTAACATCTGCCCAAGTACTTTGGCTGTAAAAACATCATCAACACATAGATTTCTTTGCTAGAGAAAAGAACCAGGGCCACATACTGAATTTCAGGGAGCAAGGTGTAAAATGTGAGCAGGTCAGGAAGGTCATGGTCCTCCCAGCCTTCTAGCCATCTAGAAGAGAAATGACCTGTCTTGGCTGCTGTTTTGCAGTCAAACCAGGGAGCCTGGAGGGTGGCCCCCTCCCTTGGGCTGGGGGCGGGGCGCGCCCACCCACCTGCCGTTCTGAGAAGTGGTACTGGCACAGCCTCTTCCACAGCAGCCGGTCCTCGCTGAGCACGTGCAGGTCGGGGGCCGCCTGGCCCAGGCTCACCAGGTCTCGGCCGTCGCTCAGCCTCTGCATGATGTTCAGTTGCAAGCACAGGGGCAGGTCGGTGAAGGTGAGCCCTTTGAAGGCAGGCTGGGGAGAAGGACGGCAGGAGATCAGCGAGGTGCAGGGCACCCCGCAAGGGGGCAGCTGCGGGCCTCTGCCTTCGGTGTGCGATCAGAGGCCCTTTGCAGCCTCTGCTGATGTGTTTGCCAACAGCAGTGGACGCTGCCTTCTGGGCAAGAAGTCAGAGCAGACCTATGGGCGGCTCTGCCTTTCTCCCAGTCCTGGAGTTGAAACTACTGCTTTTAGCTCAGTGTTCTGTCACTGAGCCCCTCTCTGAGGGTTGCAGGCAAAAACATTCAGCTTAAAGAAACCCTACCTTAGCCTGGGAATGGATATGAAGTTAGTTTCTCCTTGAATTTGTAGGGTCTAATAAAACGGTCCAAGCTGCCTCCGGGTTTGAACACACGGGGCTTTAGGGGGCCACGTGTGGGAAGCTGGACTGTGAAGGACAGGGACTGCCAGGGGAGAGCACAGGACAGACAGGGAGCAGTTCTGGGCCCCAGGTGGCCTGGGGAAGTTGGGGCTTCCATCTGCCCTTGGCCGGATGGACTGGTCCAGAGGTCTCTGAAGATCCCTTCCAGCTCCCATAATCTCAGACTCACGAGCTTCTGCCACCTCGAGCACCAGAAGTGTCCCCGACTGGACAATTTATGTTGCTCAGGCCGCTGGACTGAGCTTTCAATTGTTTGAAAAATTCAGGATCTTGCCGGCTTGTGCAGGCCCAGACCTATTTTGTCATTTATCATCTGCTGCTGATCACAGCAGCTAATAAAACTGCCATGAAAGTTTCTTTCTGTTTCCAGCACTTCAAAGCATCTACTTTTTTGGTTAAAAGTCCCAGGCCAATTATTACATGAACTCCTATTAAGGTCCACTTGGCAGAGTTCACTCAAATTTTCAACCTGAACTTTTCCAAAATCCTTGCCCAGACCCCATGCTGAGCCCTTAAGCTTGATAAATGGTTAACTGCTTGTGTGCTTTCTCTTTTTGAATATAAAAATATAACAGAAAAAACACTCTTACGCCTGCAATCTAGCAATTGGCTAAAATCCTTTAGGTCCACCCCAGACCTCTCCCTGCCCCATGCTTCAAAAAACTAACCCGTCCATTACACATTATATACTCTAATCATTTCCCCCTTAAAACCAGTTCTTTCTCTTTTTCCCCCTTTATCTTAACTGTATTAATTTTTTTGCCAATAAAAATTGGCTCCACAGAATTAGATAGGGAATTTTGAAGGAGAACAGGATTATGAGAAGATACTGGTGGAACTTTGGTAAACAGAAAGCAATCACTGTGTCACCTTAACATTTTTGTGGAATAACATATTTCTCTTTGGTCCAAACTATTAAAAACACAGTCCAGAGGGAAGCAATTAAGTCCCTTCTGTCTCTCTTTTCCTGGCTCTTTTTCTTATGTGGCGTTGAGTATTTGTGTGAAAAGCTTCTTGGGTCCTTAGCTTCCGAGCACCACGCCTGGAGCCCAGGAGGGCTGAGAAGGGGTGTTTCAAGTGTAGTGGCAAAGCGCAACCTCTGTAGACAGGCCTGGGGTGGGGGGGTCCCTGAACTACATCTTACTGGTGATGATGTCCTGGTCAGGTTATTCCTAACTACTCTGTCTAATTTTTCTCATGTAAAAATAAGGCAGAATATACAGTGTGGCTGGGCAGAGTGGCTGACATCAAGCACAGAAGTCCAGAGCACACCGTGCAGAAATATTCGCCATCTTCCTACAGCTACTCACTAGCTGAGTTAATTCACATGTGAAGCACCTAGAAGGATGCCAGCCACAGCAGAGCCCTCACTAATAACTCTCGATGCTTCTACAATATGTACCACGTGTCAGGCACTATTCCGGTGCTTTCTACACACTAATTTTGAATATCTCACACCAGGGCTATGCAAACCGTTACTGGACTTATTTTTCAAATGAGGAAGGTGAGCCTGGAGACTGAGTAAGTTGCCCCAAATCCTGCAGCTGGTAAATTTCCATCATCACCCATAAAACAAGGCAGTGCTTCCCACTATTCCTTTAAATGTTCATCAGGTGCTTCAGGAAACCAAAGGGAGGAAAGCTCCCTTCTACCATTTATTCATTCATCTAAGATTTAAGCTCCATTTACTGTTCAGTGCCAGGCAGAGGGGCTAGAGCAGGAGACGACATGGCCAATGTCCTTTTCTGGTGGGGTTCACAAAGTAGTGGGTGGAGACAGGGAAGTGGGCACACGGAGGGGATGATTTCAGTTTGCTGTACCTGCTCTGACATAGTGGCTCCAAGAGGCTAGGGGGTCCGAGGAGACAGCGCGCTTATAAGCCCCACGGCCAGACCAGGCTTAGAGAGTCCAGGGAAGAGCTGGGCCTGGCTGCAGGGCCAGGAGCAGAGGGGAGAGCGAAAAGACTTTGGTGCTGGACCTGCCTTATGTAGGATTCCACTGGATTTAGAAGGACTGCAAAAAGCTGGATCGTTGAATAAATAGTTGGAAGAAAGTTGGATTGAAAAAAGTTTGGAAAGCACTGATGTTAAGAAATCGTCACCATTTTAGGAATAAGGAGTCCAGGGTTCTGGCCTCAGCTCTGCCCCTGATTGCGCTGTAACTCCAAAGCCATCGAGCTCCTCCTCTGTTTACCAACCCACTCTCGCCCCATGAGGAGGTGACAATAGCCACCTCCCCAGGGCTCCTACAGATCAAGTCAGGGAGACTCTGGGGAAGTAAGGTAAATGTGTGTGTGTGGGCAAGGGGGACCCCTGTGAGGGGACGGGGAGGCCAGTTCTGAGCAAGGGTGGCCTTCTAAAGGGGCGCCCCAATACCGCTGGAAGGATGATGTCCTGGAGACACAAGGGGCTTTTGCTCATTTATATCATTGCCTGGGTGATTCTGTGCTAGGCTTGTAAATCCGCAGTATAGAGAAGGCCAGAGTACACAGAAGGGGTAAGTGGGTTTTCTGTGAGAGATGTTAAGATTTTGGGCCTTAAAATTCATATTGTCAAACTATGCCTACAGGTAAGAGCTGGGAATGGGGTCTATTATTCAAATGCATCCATTAAATGTTCACAGTACTCCCACTCTCTTAAAAGAATCAAATAACTGAGAAAGCTTTGAGAAGAGTATTTGGACTTGTGTTCTGTTTGTGATGTGTGATGTATATGTGAATAGCAGTCTAGGACATTGTCTAAGGAACTCACACAGTTCAATTATTCCTTCTGTTTCCAAGCTGAAGCAACTCAAGAACAGAAAGGTTATTAACAGTGAAGTCAAGGACTCTGCAGTTTGAAAATTTCAGTTTGAAAAGAGGTCAAAGAGGTTTTTCTTGTTACTTTTTCGAGAGATGGGGCAGACCCAATCTTTATCAGCTTCCGTCCCGGAACCACTTAGAGCAGCGTGGTCAGTGATTAGATAAGGAAGCCAAGTGCAGCGTGAGCCGCTCGAGTGTGTCTGTCCATTAGTGAAACCTCGGAGATTCCAGCAGCATCCTTCTCACCTTTTTTTTTTGCCTCACTGCAAAGAGAACAAGAGCTGAGGGCCAACTTATGTTTTCACACTAAAATATGGGAGCTATTTTGTTTTGCTTTGAGTGAGAACTGCTTTTTTCTTTTCCAACATGCATTTCCACAATCTTTAATCAAAGGCTTCCTTGACCACACTATTAGTAATTGAAACTAGAATTTTATAAATTTGGTATCAGTTCTCCAGGCCATTGCCAACATAGCTCTATGGTATTCCAGGCAGCATCTTAAAGCTGTACACCACACATTCTTGAGGGAGAGATCTCAGAGCAGAGAGATTTCGAACCCTCCAGACCTTGAAGGGGTAAGGCCAACGGCTCCCCCCCCCAGCCAAGCTCCCAGCTTTCCCAGCAGGTTCAAGTGGGATGCCATCTTTCATATGCTTTGCTCCAGGTTGGCCAAGTTCTTCCCACCCTCCCCTATTCAGGAAGCCCCAGCCCACCCTCAACACCCAAGCTAGGCATCGGCTCAGAATAGGCCCGTGGATTCCAAGACTTGGTGAGGCTGGCTGCTGCCAGTGGAGGAACCGATGGAGCCTTTTCTGTGGGGAGAAGGAGGGCGTTCCTGCTTACCCTGGTAATTTGGATGCTGTTCAGCTGCTGCTGCCAGTGTAGAATCGTCTCCATTCGATACACCCACATGTTAATGTTCCCGACCAGCACAGACTTGCCGACTCTTTGGACCAGTGTACATAAGGATGTGTAGAGAGTCTGCAGAAGTTCCCTTATTAGCCTAATGTTTTGCTGGTCTTCAAGGACTTAAGTGGGGAAGAAAAAAATAAGAGTTATGATCCTGGAACACCCTCTATTTTATAAGCGGGCCTTTCTTCTCTATTCTGCTTTTGCAACCTGCGTACCGCCTCCAGGGAAATGGCTTCGTTCTCACCAGTGTTTATTTCACACTTGGCCGAGTGTCTGGACTCAAGGTTACTGGGTAGGGTTTCCACGATCTAGGCCCCTCTTTGTTCTCTTCTCCCTGCTTTCTACAGAGACTCCTCTTTTGTTGTCCTCGCAGCCCTGTGAATCACGGGCTCTGAAAGCAGCCTCCTTCTGGCAGAGCTCAGTGGTGGGGGCACTGGTCTGGGGGCCGGGTGCCTGGGCTTGAGTCCTGTCTGGATGAGCCACATGTGATTATGGGCAGATTAGTCTTTCTCATGAGTCTCAGTTGCTCCAAACGCATCATGAGTTGACTGAACCACAGGCCTGAAGTTCTGCACAGCTGTCAGAAGCTAGGAATCAATTCTGCCTGCACCCAGTTGTACTTCCCGGGCATCTGGCACTAGTGGGTTGGTGGCCCTGTTGGGTTACATGAACTCACTCCAAGAAGCCTGAGTTTACAGCAGGGTGGGTGGACAATCCCCAGAACAGGCCAGGAGGCTGATGGTCTCACGAGTTATACTCCTCCCTGAACTGGAATCGGGGGCCTCTGAAATGCACCTAGAGCTCATTTCCACCCACTTTGGTTCCCTGAAATAGGGTGGCATGTCCACTCCACTGGAAATCCCACGTGCCCATCTGCTGGCCTGTAAAAAGGGGTGAAATCGAGCTCACCTTTCAGTACCACTTTTTCCAAAATGTTCATGAAGTTCTTTTGGGCTATGCCACTCAGGGAGGTGAGCTGGGACTTTGCTATCAGTTCCAACAGCTGTGGATAAAAATAGAAGGTGCCAGGCTTAGACGACAGAGATATTTCTCTGCTCTAATCTTTGCTTCGGAGTCACATGACATGCAGATACAGGCTGACTGGGAGAGGGGGTGGGAGGCAGGGACGCGGCGAATAGAAAGCAGATGCTTCAAGTGGAAGAAGCTTCATTTGAAGCTTGAAATCAGGATGGTGATTTAATTGTTTTTGTTCCTTTTAAATAGAGTTTGGCTTCTGCCTGGGTGAATTCTACTTGCTCTTAGCAAGCAAAGCTGAGGTACTCTGAAGGGAACAGACCTCCTTTGACCTGCAGAGGTTTGGTTCTCATAATCACTCCCAGTGGGAGTTCTTGCCACTGGCACTTCCTCCTCCCAGGTACCACCTGCCCTCAAGACACCTTACGCCCAGCAATGATGAGCGCTTTCCAAGGTAGTAGAAGTTACCCTCTGTGAATGTTCCATACAAAGCACTCAGTAAAAATGTCTACTAATTAGAATCTTCCGTTGCACTCAACTTCCCGTAGAGAGAGGCCAATCACAGAAGATGAGAGAAATCTCTTCTCATCTAGGTAACCTGCTCCTTTGGAGAGTATCAAAGATTCCATGTTGAGGAGTGAAACTTTAGACAGGAAGGGGGCCTTAGAATTACCTACTTCACAGATGAGCAAAGTGAGGCAAAGTCCTCTCAACATACTTCATGCTTTCTCAGAATTATCAAACAGAAAAGCCTCATATAACTGAAAGCATTTAATTTCCCCAAGACATAGCAGCTCCCTCAGGAAAAGAAACTAGCCTTAGACTTACAGGGTAAATTGCATTTGGAAAGCCCAGACCCCTCCTTTATATTAAAGCTTGAATGTCCTCTCAAGGAGCGTCACTCCTGGCTAGGCTCCAGCCCAGCTTCACATGGGCTCAGTGACACAATGCTGGGCCCTGGAATCCAGGACGCGAGCAAGTGACCTTCTAAAAGCTGGACTGCAGAGGAGAACCAGGACTTTTGGATCCAAGCCCCAGCCCATTCCAAGCACCTCTGCTTCCAAGGCATTTGTTTAAAAATCTCATCCCCACAGAGACTCTTAGGAGGTTGTCAAACCACAGACAGACTTTTAATTTCCTGAACATAATTTTACTTTCTGCTTAAAAATACCCACCCAAACCTTTTCCTGCCTGGCTTCTGTGTCCCCACACACTCGGGGAGAGTCAGTCTTCTTGCTGGGAGAGGGTGGGGAGAAAAGGTGGGGCTGGTTTGTTAACTTAGGAGGGGTTGGTGAGCCCAGGCTGGAGAGCAGCAGCTGACCCGCCCCGCCCCCACCGACGCTGAGCGAGGCAAGAAGCCCAAACACCACCAGAGCCTTGAGTCCCGCCGGTGCACAGGCCACCCTGGAACTATCTGCTTCAACTGTCACCTCCCGGCACGTGACAGTGGAAAGGAGTGAAAAATGGCACAGAGGGACTGGCCAAGCCTCTCATTTATCTCTCTGACCAACAGCAAGACTCAGAGGGCCAAGCTGAGGTTCTATTAATACCCTGAGCCTCACATGAGCTGCACAAAGCAAGATGAAAGAAAACAAGAGCCTGGATGGCTCGGTGGAAGGGCAGGCAGGCGGTGCGCTGTGACTCATCATTGGGTGGGGGGGTGGGCAGAGCTGTCTGAAACCCAGCCAATACCCGGATTCCATGTGACTCCTACCTCCTGAGGGTGTCAGTGTCAATCTTGTCTAAAAATGCACTCATCACAGGACAGGAAAACTCTCAAGGCTGTGACGGTGCATTGGAAGGAAAACAAGCAGCCTGGGGTCTGACTGCTCTGTGAGCAAGGAGTTGGAATAGAGCAGCACACCCCTGTCACCGGATAGCAGGATGACAAGTCATCCAGCCTGTGTTTACTCCTGTCTCAAAAGAAAGTCCCTCTTGGCTGCCAGGCAGCTGTGGGCTCCGGAGACAGAGCCTAGAGTAGGAGCCACCTGGGACCTTTCCCACCGTCACTCATCTGGCAAGTAGTCCCCTCATACCCACTCGCCCTAGCATTGTGGTGGACTAGGTGGACGATGGAGACCCCAGGCCCCTGCCCTGGAGGGTCCTGGCAGGCCTTTGGTATCAGCCATCGACCTCTCTGAAACTCGCCTCTCCAGCTCTAAATTGGAATAAAAACACTACCTACTTCACAGCCTTGTGATGCGAATGAGATGAGATGCGTGCATAGAAAGTCACTGTAAATGTCAAAGAGGCATTTGTATTATATACTATTATTTCTTCTAAGCCCTGTTTGTTGAGTGAATCTTAAAGTTGATTTCAAAGCTTAGCAAACATTTTCTGTGAAAAGTCCAGAGTAAATATGTTAGGTTAAATATGTTAGGTTTCGTGTGTTGTACATAGTGACAAAGCAGACTTAAATAATATGTAAATAATGGGTGTGGTTGTGTCTCAATAAAACTTCATTTACAAGAAAAGATGGAGGGGGCTAGATTTTGCCCTTTGGTCACAGTTATTAGTACGTGCATTTCTACATATTTACAGATCTCTCTATATATTATCATATTTGAGGTTGGAGATTCCAGAGCCCCAGTGTCTGCCTGGGTTTCCCCATCTGTAAAATATGCCTAACAGTAACTACTTGAGAGGTTCTGTGAGGATTATATCCATATGCACTCATAACAGGGCCTGTTACAAAGACTAGACACCACAAATTATTATCACAGCATAGACAATATCACTTACTAAAATTATTGCCAAGAAGAGCACAGGTAAAGAACGGCTAGTTCACAGATCTTCAGAGCCCCTGTCTTTTGATTTTTGTGTTTTCAACCAAACATTGTAAAGCTTTCAAATTTTAATATTCTTTTATTCTGTTTGTAAGACCTTTAGCAGCTCTATTGATAAGTTAATGTTGGTACATTTTATGACTCACATGGTCGCATCAATGGGGCAGTCTTGCTAACAGTCATGGGGGTTTCCATGCCAACTACAGTCCATGCCTTTTACCTGAATGTCCCTGTCCAGGCTTCAATGATAACCCGATGAGGTGGGTTCGCCAGGTGACCAAAGGAGACTGTGGCTCAGTCTCAGCTAAGTGACCGGCACAACAGGTGGAGGAGCCCGGCTTCAGGACTTTAATTGGTCAGGGTCAACCAAATTTGTAGCTGGAGTCAATCTTTGATGTAAAGGAGTAGCCATATCGTGTAGTATTATGTCTGGGAAACAGGGACTGGAAAGTGTCTGTCAGAAATCACATTGTGACAGATTACCAGCTGTTAACATTACGGGAGAAATAATATCCAGGATGAGGCCATTGCTGGGGGTAAACTATGTAGGTCTACTTTCTATATTAGCATATTTCTCCACAGGTACAAGCTGTAGGTACTAGAGGTTAAGGGGGTGGAATTTAGTAATTTCATTTCTGTGTTAAGAGAGCTGTGTGACTGGAGAAGTAGGAGGTATCAAGCGATTTATTTACCCAGATGACTTCACCAATGGGAGTCTGTGCCCTCAGCCACAAGAGAAGCAGAGAGCAGAGCAAAATGTCTTGTTTGGAAATGACTGTTTCTGCCAGGCAAGTTCTAGCCCAGGTGCCAATAATTTGTGGCTGTGTTTAAGGAGGCAAGAGGGTGACAGGGAGCAGACAGGGGGTCCTGGCTGCTCCTGGATCCCGATCCCGAGAGGCAGTGTTAACCACACAGGCAGCCTGGGTGCCCGGCGCGACCTGACAGGAATGGTCTGGCTGGGGGAGGAAGGCATGGCAGGCGCAGCGTGCCCAGCACACATCCTGCCCTTCGGCTGTGGCTCACGCTGGTTTTGGACACACTGAACGGAGAAAAATCTAGTTGAAGCATTACAGGAGAGCAAACCTTAGAGCGGCCATCAACCCCAGTTTGCCATCAGCCTCATCTCCCTTTCGCTGCGGAAAAGGCAGCTGCTTTCCTGCTCTTCATTTGGTCACTGCATTCATGCTTTTAAAAATACATCAGCTCACATCACTTCTCTGCTGGAAACCCTCAGATGCTTCCTGTTTCTCTCAGAAAAAGCTCTAGACTCTACGACTGGCTCGCTTTTCCCTGATGTGGTTCTTGTTCCATTCCTTGCAGTGTGTGCCCCAGCCCTTCTGCTCTGGCCCCTTGGCCAGTTTGGGTGCCCGGAACAGGCCTGTTTGTCCTTGCCACGTCTCCGTGTCCTGGACTCCATCCCATCCTGTGGTCTCAGTTCAAATATCGCTGGCTCAGAGAGACCTTCTCTGACCAAGTTATGTGAAAACTTCCCAGCTGCCATCTTTACCTGGCTGTGGTTTCACTGTTCTTCATTGCTCATCTGAGATATCTGGTGATGTGCTTGCTGGCTGCCTGACTGGGCAAAACCCTCAAGACAGCAGGGGCGGTGCTGCTCACCCCTCTCCCCTGGCCTGGGACAGGGCAGGCGCTCAACAAACGCTTGTGGTTTGACACATTTGTCTTTTAGAGTCAAGGGGTGTTATAGCTGGCAGGGACCTGGGAAGCAGTTTACCCCAACTCTCTCCTGCCACAGATGAGGAGGCTCATGATGGCCAGATGGCACAGTCAAGGCGTGCCACAGGGAGGGTGGTCTGGACTGTCAGTAAGTCCTCACTGAATATGATGGACAGGCTTGTGGAACTGCTGTTAAGCGAGATGGCTTATCATGAAAGTAGATCCTTGAATAATGCCATTTTGCTTAGAGTTGGCTGGGATCTCTGTTTTCTCCTTCGTGTTATTACATGACATTGAGCAAAAGGACATTATTTCAGGACCTGCTGTATTTATTTGGGTTTGGACCTAAACAGGTGCCTGATGTGTTCCTTTATTTTTTTTTTTTAAGTTCTATTATATTTATACACACAGAACTGGAGTATAGGCCACAGGTGCTGGGGCAGAGAGAGGATCCACCAGAGATAGAGTGGGGAGCAGAACAGGCCGACTGATGAAGTACACTGCTGAGGGGAGCAGCGAGCGAGACGGGAGAGAACTGCTGTGCCCTGTGGGTCACCTCTGGGGCCGG